CAAAAATTCATCCATACAAAATGAAGAATAAATTATTGCGGTTTTTTTGAGCTATAGAACTCCTAGAAATGTCAAAAACTGAAAGAGGAGATACATTTTGTCTGTAAAAAACTTTCAAAAATGACTATTTTTGGCATGTTTTCTTCCGGAAAAAAGACCATACAGGATTCTATAACCATTAATTAATTCTTCAAGAATCATTTGAAGCATCTTCAATCTATTCAAAAACAGATAAAAAGTTCTAAAATTATGGTTTTAGACCTGCAATTGTGATCGCGCCAAATTTTTTTCTGTAGATCAAAAAATTGATTCGCAGTTCGGAAATGTTCTGCGGGAGACCGTGGATGGTGAAAAGAAATGTTCTAATTTTTAAAGGTACGGCTGAAAAATACCCATCTTTTCCGATAGAGCCAAACATTTTCCAGTGTTTATCAGATTTTTCTGGACAAATAAAATCGATGATTCACAATTTTTGGAATGGTGATTTCAGGCAGACTTGCAAACGGACCCAAAACGAGCCCTGGCGGGCTTTGTCACAGTTTCTTTTAGAATTAATATTTTTACCAACTGAATCAGATTTGATAAAACTCGACAAGTACTACAAAACGATACTATTTTAAAATTTCTATCTTGTCTATGGACGTAGTTAATATGATTTTAGGAGCATGTTTAAATGTTTGTTATGCTAAATTTCAATTGGTATAACAAAATTTCTATAAATTTAAAGCCAAACGTTGCATTGTGTCAAATGGAGAACACAACCTGCTTCTTAAAACGATGGAAAAAGTTACGAATGTTTTAAAAACTGCTCTGAACGTTTATCTTGAAACCGAATTTCAATACGTACTTGACGTGTGCTCAGATTGGTTTTTTCCGCCAATTTTTTCCTCTGCTCTTCTGATGGATGATGTGTTTTGCGAATCATTGCATGTAGAATCTCTCTTTGTTCTTCAGTATAATTCTTTCGCTTTCTTTTCTGAAAATGTTTATCGAACACTTGTAGCAAAAAAAAACAAATCGTTTACGTTCTCATCTCTTGCTTTTTTTGTTCCTCCGTGGTCCCTTTTCTAGTTTTCATCATATTATTTTCGAAATCGGAGTCACTTTTGTTATAAGTAACAAGTCGTGCGGATTTTCTTCTGGGCCTTGACTCCTGAAAACTCATTTTTCAAAAACAGGAAATTTTCTCGAGAAACTGTACCTGCACATCATCTTCCGAGTCCGGAATATTTGATGTTCTGCTTCTTTTTGAATCAGCTCCTTTGGATGTTCCCTGATTGGAATTAGTATCCTTACGCGGCCTTCCTGGGCCTCGTTTGACCATCTGTAAAAAGGATTCTTGAGTAAAATGCTGAAGAATGGAGTGAGAGAGAGAGAGAGAGAGAGAGAGAGAGAAAAACTGTACCAGAACCTCCTCGGATGTCCCTTAATGTGAAACAGCGTAGTTGCGTGATCTTCCAAAACGACGATTTGACGTTTCTGAAAAAGATTCACGTTTACAATGCACGAGGAGAAAAAAAGAGAAAGAATTTAGCGCATTTTTTTTAGCGAGTCACGGACAACGAGGCATCTCTGTTATTATTGTTTCAAAATGAGCTAGACTCTTTTTTGGAGATTATAAAAGTTCAGCAATTTTAAGATAATTATCTTCGTTGGCAGAGTTTTTTTTTCCATCTATGTAGTTTTTGGAATACTCAAAAAAAACGAGAAACCTTGAGAACTATGAGAGCTATCAAAAACGTTTATTACATTTTCCAAAAATATATAGTGGGACATATTGTTCTGTGGTTCATATATGAGAATGGGAAAACGACGAGGTGGACGTGAAGGGACGTTGTGTGGTACCTTTCAATGTTGTGAGGGTGCGGGAAAGACGTGGGAACGCAATGAAAAGCAGTGGAGCAACAGTGCACGCACCCCTTCGGGTCACCAAAGGGACAGTGGACCTTCTCATGGTCATCCATTGTTGTCTTGCGTGTCAAATCATAATGAGACGCGAATGATGGATGGTGATGTTACACTCATGGTTCATAGCCCGTCGAATTCCACGGTTTCCGGAAAACAAATTATCACGATTCATACAAACAAAAAATAATGGGAAGTGTATAAAACAAAACCATTGAACTAACATGATTCTGGCTTTTAGCACTCGGGAGCAGCTGGAAGAGTATATTATTGTCACAATGTTTTATCTTATTTCTTTCAAAAATTCATTGAGTTCTAAAGTAAAATACAATGAACATATCTTTGGCAAAAAATTCGGGGTGTACAATGATTCGGGGGTACAAGGGGGTACAACTGATATAGGGGTACAAAATTGGTGATTCGGGGGTACAAAATTCGTGGGTACAAAAATTCGGGGGTACAACGATTCGGAGGTACAAACTATCAATGATTCTGGGGTACAACCCATTTCATTTAGGGGTACAACGCTTGTGATTATGGGGTACAATTTTTTTTGAGGGAGTTTCTGAATTTCTGAATTTCAGAGCTTGAAAATCTCAGAATTCTTAGAATTTCAGGACTTTGGAATTCCAGCATTTTGGAATCTGAAAATTTCGGAACTTCAAAAGCTGAGAATCTGAGAATTTCGGAACTTCAGAATCTGAGAATTTCAGAATTTCAGAACTCCAGAATTTCAGTATTTCGGAGTCTGAAAATTTCGGATGTTCAGAATCTGAGAATCTGAGAATTTCCGAATTTCAGAACTTCAAAATCTCAAAGTTTCAGGACATCAGAATCTCAGTATTTCGCAATTTCTGAATTTCCAAAAATTCCGACAAAAGTTTTTCACTTCTCATTGTCACATTGTTCTTTCTGATTTTAAAAAATCTCGAAATTTCCGGAAAGCAAACAATGGAGAACTGTAAAACATACTCGCAAAATCAGGGCCGGGCGGGCCCCGGTTCTCCACATTTGAATTTTTTTTGAAATTTCAATCATTTTTCCAAAATTTTTTTGTGAAAAAATCATTTTTTATGGACACTCTTAGTTTGAAAAATGTTTTACTTGACCGAAAGGTTTTCCATTTTTTTCTATGGACCCCAAAAAATTTTTTGAAAAGACAGGAAAATTTTTTTCTGAAAAGAGAAAAGAGGGGCAGGACCGGGCCCTGAAAATTCTGAAAAAAGCCCGGCCCGGCCCGTTGCAAGTATGCTGTGAAATATTCTATCATTTTTTCTCAATCGCTTTTTTTCTCAATTCTATCTCATTCCTTCTGTTTCTCAATATTCCTTCGTTTTTTTCCTCCCAATTTTCTTCAATTTCTCTCTTTTTCTCAATTTTCGTGGTAATTGGAATTTTTCTCATTTCTTTTCATAATTGTATAGATCATTGAATGAAGGAAACAATCACAATTTAGTGATTTACACACAAAAATTCAAAAATCCCAAAAATTGGCCCAAAATGAGCTATTTTCTATCGAAAATTGTTCGCACAAGCAATAAAACATCGCAAAAATTATAAAATTAATTTTTTTCGATTAATTACCACAAAAATTTGATTTTCGCACCTTTGGGATTTTCTCCGTTTTCCTTCGTTTTCATCGTTTTTGCTGAAATTTTCGTGGTAATTAATCGAAAAAAATTAATTTTATAATTTTTGCAATGTTTTATTGCCCGTCCGAACAATTTTCGAGAGAAAATAGCTCATTTTGGGCAAAATTTTGGGATTTTCGAATTTCGTTGGTAAATTGCTAATTTGTGATTGTTTCCTTCAATCAATAATCTAGAAAATTGTGAAAAGAAATGAGAAGAATTTTAATTACCATGAAAATTGAGGAAATTGAGAAAAATTGGGAAAACAACGGAAAATTGGGGTAAAAACGAAGGAATATTAAGAAACAAAGAGAAATGAAATAGAATTGAGAAAAAGTGGTATTGAGGAAAGTATCGGCTGGGTTTTAATCCTAAATTAAGCATTAAAAACTTGAGTTTGTAAAACTTGTCAAGCTTATTTTACAGTTCTCCATTTTCAAAAAGAACAATGTGATCCTGAAGTTCCGAAATTCTCAGATTCCGAATTCTGGAATTCCAAAGTTCTGAAATTCTGAGATTTCGAAGTTTTGAAGTCCTGAGATTCAGAAATTCGGAAATTTTTAAATTCTCAGATTTTGAAGTTCCAAAATTTTCAGATTCCGAAATACTGGAATTCCAAAGTTCTGAAATTCTAAGAATTCTGAGATTTTCAAGCTCTGAAATTCAGGAATTCAGAAACTCCCTCAAAAAAAAAATTGCACCCCCGAATCACAAGCGTTGTACCCTTAAATCATACTTGTAAAATTCCGGGCCGGGCCGGGCCTGAGGAAATTTTCAAGGCCCGGGCCCGGCCCGGAAGGCCCGGTGTCAAAAATTCTGTATTTTTGAGCCAAATTTTGAGCTTTCAATGTAAGTTTTTCCGTTTTTTTCGTATTTCGGATTGTTTGTCTGTCTGATCAAAAAAGATCGAAAAACTCGAAAAAAAATTTTTTGGTCGAAAAAGAATCACATAAGGGTCCCCCCTTATGTGTTTTTTGAAAATTTCGAAACTAGTAAAATGACGGGCCCGCCGGGCCGGGCCGGCCCTCCCAAATTCCGGAAAAAGCCCGGCCCGGCCCGTTACAAGTATGCCCTAAATGAAATGGGTTGTACTTCAAAATCATTGATAGTTTGCACCCCCGAATCGTCGTACCCCCGAATTTTTGTACCCACGAATTTTGTACCCCCGAATCACCAATGTTGTACCCCTAAATCAGTTGTACCCCCTTGTACCCCCGAATCATTGTACCCCCGAATTTTTTGCCAAAGATATGTTCATTGAATTCTGAGATTTTCAAGCTCTGAAATTCAGAAATTCAGAAACTCCCTCAAAAAAAATTGTACCCCATAATCACAAGCGTTGTACCCCTAAATGAAATGGGTTGTACCCCAGAATCATTGATAGTTTGTACCTCCGAATCGTTGTACCCCCGAATTTTTGTACCCACGAATTTTGTACCCCCGAATCACCAATTTTGTACCCCTATATCAGTTGTACCCCCTTGTACCCCCGAATCATTGTACACCCCGAATTTTTTGCCAAAGATATGTTCATTGTATTTTACTTTAGAACTCAATGAATTTTTGAAAGAAATAAGATAAAACATTGTGACAATAATATACTCTTCCAGCTGCTCCCGAGTGCTAAAAGCCAGAATCATGTTAGTTTAATGGTTTTGTTTTATACACTTCCCAAAAAAAACTTTTCCGCATTGTCCATTTCTTTTATATTTTTCTCATCCTGACCACTCCATTAAAATTTTAGACTTGCCTGTTTTCTTTTTTTTTTGCTGTCCTGTAAATTCTTCTAACATTATTTTATCTTCTCCATATTCAGTTTCCAATCGAAATTGCAATGAAAAAACATATAATACCTCTTTCACTTCTTCCTATGACGAGCGAACTGTTCGCGCGCAAACACTCTCTCACCGCGCACACAGAAAGAGACGCAGACACATCGACAGTCGATTTTCTTCTTCCACGTCCTCGCGGTCCCCATTTTTCTTTGTTTTCTCGTTAATGACATCGCGTGGCAATTCGACGCTCGAGCTGGAAACATTTGAAGTTGTTCAATGCGAATGTGTGTGAGTTACTTATTTCTGTTTTTTGAAAATTTTGAAGCTAGAAAATCATAATCGTTCCACAAAAGCGTCGACACAAAGCATTGTAAATAGTGAAGAAAAAATTCAAATTTTCGATGATTCAACCGAGTTTTTTTTCAAAAACGATTTAGTCAAGGCGACCGACACTTGAAACTTTTCTGACTTGCGTACAACTCAGTGGAATGGCAAAATTTCTAAAATTTGCCTTGTTAGTGCGAAGCCACAAAGTTTGCCTCTTTTCGGAAACAGATTCTAGAAATGCTATCAATCACATTTTACCTAAATTCAACGTTTTTGAAAATTATTGTGGTAAGTGAAAATTCATTCAAACCAAATTGCAGATACGCCAACGTGTGTCACCAGGCGTGGGTGCAGTTCGAGACAAGAGAGGTCCATTACGGACCATACACTCCTCTCCTGCCTTAGAATGGAAAAATCAACAACCGTATTGAAGAGCTCAAAATTTAATTGGGACGGACCGGATGGCAATCCATGCTGAAAGAAAAAAAATCAATAATAAGATTGAAAAAATGGAAATTCAATTTGGATGGACCTGATGGCAACAACCGGAAAGAAAATTTGGTGGTATTGATGAAATCGCCGAAATCTAATTTCGGGTGATTCGAATGGTGCTTCATGAAATAAGCGAAACCGATAATAAGATTTTCACAAAGGATGTCTAATTTTGTACTCCCAAACTGTGGAGCTGGTGAGATTTTTTACACTTTATAAAAAAGCTGCATCGTTTTTTTTCTTTCAATTTACATGACTTTATTGAGTTCTCAGAATATTTTGGGTCCAAACGAGTCAGCAAAAAACTCGAATAATTCTTGCTTTTTGAAAAAATATGTGAAAATGAAAATCCGATAAATACATTCAATTGTTCTCATATTCACGAAAAAAGTGTTTTTCTTCAAAATAAAAGACTTGGCTATGTTTTCTCACCAATAGAACATTCGAGAAATAGCGCCAAATTTTAAATTTGTGTGTTTTTTTTTTCACAAATAACTTTTCCATCACCCGAACGGCCCCTGAAAACTCAAAAGATTTTCATTTGAGAACAAAAATCACAATTTTTAGTCATTATTTTTCTATGATTTTCAGGATCCTCTCTGTGCGCGGAAGTTCCACAATCCGCCTTCGTGTTCCAACAAGACAGTGCAGAAGATAAATCTTCATGGGGACACCAATCGGTTGGCTATGGCGAGTTGGAGGTTGAGGACAAAACTGAAAATGTCGTGGAGGAAACAAACACGTTTTTCAACAAGATGGGGCACCCATCAATCAAAAAGTTGAGAGTGAGTAAAACTCTATAAAGAAATTTGGGATGTAATCCTGTTAACGTAACAAGGAACATCAAAAAATGAATCAGAACGACATACTAATTGCCACCAAGTGAAGGTGATTTATAACGTGTTTTTGAAAATTTCTTTAAAATTTATTTTTAAATCTTTTCCCAAAGGATTCCAAATGTTTCGACCACGGTCCCACAGACACTAATGATAAAAACTACTCAAAACAAAATATGCAGTGTGAATCGTGATCGGAACGTAGGGACCGTGGGAATTCGTTCAAAATACAAGAATTCGTTGAAAGTCAGATTGTTTGCCAAATATGTTTTCTACTTCTTCCCCTACCAGATTTCTGCTGACTAGCTGATATGTTTCATTTCCTGTCATTCTAAAACTATTCACTTTTTTCATTGTTCATTCAATTTTCGCGTTTTGCAGGGTGTGGTCACTTGGAGCAGTCCAAAGCTAATCTCTACAATATCATGTCGAGTCAACGAAAATCTTCCTATGGTCCATTACAAGGTTCGTGTCTTTACTCCGAACAGTCAAATAGTTGAGAATAATTTTCTACCTGACAGATTTGATAAATAAGACTTCATTTTCAGATCGAGAAGTTCTCCGTCCCAAGGAAAACCGATCTACACAAGAGTTCAGGTATCTTCACGGAGACACTCTAATACGTCTATGTCTAATGCGACTTGGAGGCCGAACCTAACACAAGATAATGCCCCCTAACACAAGATAATGTTTCCACTAAAGATCAACCAAGGAACAAGAACCACAGCGCAATAAAGGTCCGACGAAAAGAAGTTAAATCTGGATGAACCGGATGGCGATAGATGCTTACTGGCGCGACAACAAAGAAAACAAGATGTATTTGGAGCAAGGAAATGTCAAAGCATGGCGGGAGATCAAGAAACCACCCATTCTTGGTAATGATGGACATGATGATTGCGAATACATAGTGTGGAAAATCACAGTCAAGGTAAGAACGAAATATAGTAAAAAAATGATTCTTGTGGCTTTTGATACAAATTACCTAGTTTTTGAACATTGCGAAAAAATTTCGAAAGAGAAATTGTTGCCAGACTCCTGCGCAATTTTTAAATTACAAACATTAATCAGCTAACTTGCAGAATTGTCGGCCTAGGATCAAAGAAAAACCACATCCAAGCGCGATCGAGACACCACCTTCACTTCAAGGATGAAAAAGATAGATTTATCAACACAGAACAGTTCAAAAGTTCAATGTTGACGGACCAGATGGGTATAAGGCGCAATCAAGATGTCACCGTCGTCACGTCAAAAATAAAGAAGACGAACATTATAGGGCGCGACCAAGGAACCACCCATTATTGGTGATGGTGGCGATGATGATCGCGACGACATCAATTCAAAAATGAAGAAAGTGGATAAGCTTGACTCGGCCACAGACCAATTCAACGGATTTGTAATGCATACCTTGAAGCCATGTATTAGAAGGGCCAGCCTTAAACTTGGGTTTTCAAAGCGTCATGTAAAATGGAAAACAACAAGTATAACAAAGAATTTATAACAGGGGATATTCTACTGTTCCAAAAACCTTTTGAGGCGGCCCTTTTACTACATAGAGAGGCCCTTCTAATACAGGGTCTCTCTTTTCCGAATTTCACAGTTTGACCTCATTTCTCACCCAAAACAAAAGTTCAGTTCCCTCATAAACCCCCCCCCCCCCCAAAAATTTCACATGTCTTATGGATAATGTAGATATTTATATTTTTTCCTGAATTCTGTTTTATTCATTTTAACTTTAGTTCAACAACTCGAATTTTGCTGTTATTGCATGATTTTTCTGAGTTAAAGGGGGACTCCGGTCAATTTTTTTATTGCATCAAAATGTGTTAAAATTTATCTATTTTCAGAATATTATTGCGAAAAAATTCGAAAAAAATCCGAAATCCCCAAAAAACGCCGTTGAAAAGGAAAAAAAAATTCAAAAAAATGTGCCGCCGAGGGACGAGGATTTTCAGTGAGAAACCTAGGCCACGCGAGCGGCGCGACTTTCTTACCGGACAATTTTTCCGGATTTTTCTCGTTTTTATCTCCAACAGGTAAAAAACGTTAAAAAACACTGTCGGCCACTTGAAAATAATGCTCTCAGGCGCCGTAGCCTAGGTTTCTCACTGCGCGGGAATTCAAATCCTCGTCCCTCGGCGGCACCTTTTTTGATTTTTTTCATTTTCAACGGCGTTTTTCGAGATTT